AAATTGGTTGGTTGAAAATATTTATATCGTTTTATTTATATTATTAATGCAATATGTGTATATATTCAGTTTTGTTCGATCAAAATTTCAGTTTGTTTGTTCTTAGAATATATATTGAAACAAATTAATTCATATTTTGGCTAGGTCTAATATTTTGATAGATTAATTGAAACAAAATATCATCAAAGTGACCTCTTTTGTGTAGACTGATTTATTTGAAATATCAAGATGATTATGTGTTTCTTGTAATTCATGCATTTATTGACTCAACAGAAAGTTAATATTTGACCGGATTTTAAGTGACACATATGACAATAATATGTGACAATTATAAGGTATTTTATATGAGCATTATATTACTCCAAATATTAGTTTATTGTTTGACATAACTTATTGTCAATGATATTGATGTAGTGTTTAGTATCTTGAGGTGAGAATTAGCCATTGTTTTTTTAAAAAAAAAATTTATTTGTTTACTTTAGAATATTAATGTGAGCTTAAATTTTATTTATGTTTTTTCTATATTTAGGTAATTATTTATTTATTGCTATCAAAATATCTGTCAATACACATTTTATACACATGCTTCAAAAAACAAATCTCAAGGAATGAAAAAATGCACTTACATAAGGTTTTGGTCATATGAACATAGACTTTGCACTAAGGAAAGAACAATTCCCACCTCTTTTAGAGGATAATATCCTTAATTGGTATAAGGGATTTTGAGAGTTGAAATTTGTTCAAATTGCATAAGTCTAGTGGTCATGAAGCAAACATTTTAGAAGCCTTTAGGGGCACTGTAGACACTGTTTGTCGCCCAGGTAGGGAAAACTTGTACCGATTTAGGGGTTTTTCTTTGAAAATGTTTTGAAATGTGAGGAGTCACCACCAATCATTTTAAGGTGCTATCGGGACACCATAAAAATTGAGTGATTTTAATAAAAGGTTTTATTTTTATCAAAATACCAAGTTTAGGGTATACGAAAACCAGAAAATAGGTTTGAGAGTCAGTTATGCGTGGGGAAGGAATAACACCCCCATAGCACCAAAATATTGGTACCTAGATGATTACCCTATATTTAAAATTGAAAATTTTGAGTTCGAACTTCATCTAATTTAAAAATTATTACATATGCAAAGTTGAAAAAAGTATTCGTTTATTAAAGCCAATAACATTCGTCCCCTAGCATGAATGCATGAAATTAGCTATTATGGAAAATAATCGAACATTATCTCTATATTTTAGAAATCATGATGCGGTCTTGAAAAGGATGTCGCCCTATTTCAGGAATCAGCAGTAGTCAGCCCCTGAGCATATTTGCTGGAGATATACTATTGACTCCCTAATGAGTGAACATTGCCTTGTGTGTGAAAATAATATGCAATCAAACAATTTTTACTGACCCTAATTAAACTAAGGTAGATTAAGGTTTTCTCTATCTTAAAGTGTCAAATTATGAATAAGTAAATAACCTAGAGGTAAAAACCTAAAAATGTATGCTCTAATATTAATCCTACTTGATTTTAACCAATTATTGAATCGAATAATCAATATAAAAAACAAATACGCTATTATTTAAGATGGCGTATGTTTACGACTCTCTCAGGGCGCACGTTAGTAGGGCTAATGGAACCTGAGATTCTCGTCGCTGGTGATCTCGTCTTCAATCAATAGGTCGCTTCTTCTTGTTCTTCTTTCTGCTTAACACCTCTTCTCTTCTCTCTCAATGGATTGGAAAAAATTTGTCAGATGTCAAGAAAGTCAGAAGTTAACCTATTTTCCCCAAAATCGACCGAAAGCACTCTGATTGTCTGCCCACCACCAGAGGTCTACGAGGTTAGAACAACAGACTAGAAATCATCCTTGGTAGTTGGGGCGTCACCAAATTTCACTGCTCTACAAAGAATCATCGAAAACCTATGGAACCATCCTTCGAAAGGGGCACGAGTTCAGGTCAGTCATGCTGGAAATAATCTTTACATCTTTTCCTTCAATACTGATTTGCAAGAGACTGGGTCCTTGAAAACGTACCTTGGCACATCTTAAACAAGCCTTTAATTCTAAGAAAATAGGAGTCTAATATGCAAAGGCTTGATTTTGATTTAGCTCGTCTGCCTATCTGGATTCATCTATATAATGTTCCACTTGAATTGTATTCACGAGATGGCCTTAGCTACATTTCTAGTGCTCTAGGAACTCCAATTTCTATGGACTCTATCGCTGCTTCTAAAACTAGAATTCATTATGCTAAAGTTTGTGTAGAGATAGATGCCAAGGAAGAAATTTTTGATTATGTTGAAGTGATACTTACTAATGTTCTAACCACCCATATATATGTTGAAGTTCCCTGGTTCCCAAATAGATATAGAAAATGTGACTCTTTTGGACATTCTGATAAAAACTATCCTACTAAAAAATCAACAACTCCTTCTACTTCGAAAATTTGAAGAAAAATACAGTTTTTAACAATAGCTTAGAATAAAAGTCTCTTGAAAGCACTGAAGTCTTACAGAACCCACAGCCAGACTATTCTCCCTCAAAGGAACATTCTGAACCTATTGACTTTCATCCAGGAGCTGCTCCAGTTAGTCACTCTACTGTCTACATTGAACAATCCTCCAAGAGTGAACTTACAATTTCCCCTAGCACTCTTGTTAGTGATAGAAACTTATCATTAACCCAACCCTCACCCCACAGTGGTAAACCAGTCCAAGTAGAGAATCCCTCTCTGCCTCAATCTTCTTCTGATAAGGAACAAGAACCTACTTCTATTCCCAAAAGAGGTAGAGGCAGACCTCTCAAGGTCAAACCTAAAGTAGCTCTAAAAGGATCAGTAAATAGGTTTGAAATCCTTAGTGCAGTTGATGAAAATTCCCCTATTGCTGAGGTCCAAGTAAAGAAAGTCAGGCTTGCTACATCTGGAGTTGCAAACCTTCTTAAAAAACTAAAGTAAAAAAAGAATGAGCAAATTACTAAAGCTAAAACCCCTGTAGAAAAAGGGGGATCTTCAAACTCTCATTCCCAATGATTGTTTTCTTTTAGAACATCAGAGGATTAAATAATCCTCAAAAGCAAATAAAAGTCCTCCAAAGGGCCAACCTATATAAAGTAGATATCCTATGTTTGATGGAGACCCGTATTAAATATGATAAATCTGAAAACATTATGCATTCTAAATTTGGGAGCTGGAATGCGTTTACTAATTATGACTATGCCTCTAATGGAAGAATCTGGTTGCTCTAGAAAAACGGTATCGATATTTCTCTCTGTAATTCTTCTGATCAAAGTATCACTGTCAAGTGCCATTACAATAGTACTCCTTTTATCATCACTGCTATCTATGAAAATAATAATGGCACTAATCGTAGGCACATTTGGCAGCACCTTAGATATCTTGACTCACAGTTTAATTCTCTCCCTTGGATTCTTAGAGGGGATTTTAACACCTTTCTTACTACAAAGAAAGCTCTGACTCTGATCTTCTAGGCCCTTATCTCTCTACTGATATGAAATATTTCCATGAAGTGGTTCAAGACATTTTCTTCAAGACTATCCTTACTTTGGCCCTTCATTCACTTGGAGTAATAAACAAAAAAAATACTTTCTTAGCAAGGAAACTTGAAAGAGTTTTAATTAACTCTTTTTGGGCCAATTCTTTCCAGAGGTCTTTTATTGAATTCTTTGCTCCAGGACCCTCTAATCATTGTATGGAACTGGTCTGGTTAAACAAAGAAACCCACACTAACCGCCCCAAACCATTCAAGTTTTTCAACTTCTGGTCTTATCACCCTTCTTTTCTTGATGAAGTCAGTCATTCCTGGCAGCAGCTTGTTCATCGCAACCCAATGCAAGCTTTGTTTCTCAAGCTAAATGCCTAAAACCTTGCTTACAATCTTTAAACAATAACTCCTATAATAACTTATCTGCTAGGCTTAAACTCAAGAAAACAGAGTTGGAATAATTACAGATCTTAACTCTTAAAGGAACCAACCCTATTGATAAAGAGTTAACTATTCAAAATGAGCTATCTACCCTTGAAGAAGCTGAAAATATGTTTCTTAAGCAGAAAGAAAAAATTAGATGGCTCAAAGAGGGGGACAAGTGCACCAAGTACTTCTACTCTGTTATTGTAACTAAAAACAAAAGAGATAACATCAGGGTTCCTATTAATGCTCAAGGAAAAACGCTAGAATCATTTGATGAAATGGCCTCAGAAGTCTTAGAATTCTTCAAATTACAATTAGGTTATGCTGATCCTAATGTTCAGTAGCCTGATGCTCATTATTTGAAAAGTCTGCTCCAATTTGACTTGCCTGCTGACATTTCTTCTAACCTTATTAAATTTGTCTTTAATGAAGAAATCAAAGAAGCTATTTTTAATCAAGGAAATGACAAAGCCCCAGGCCCTGATGGATTAACTCCTTTCTTTTTCAAAAAAAACATGGCCAGTGATAGGTGATGATGTAATCAAAGCTATCAGGTTTTTCTTTCAAGAATCTTTCATCATGCCTGCTTTTAATGCCACAATAATAGCCTTGATTCCTTAGATTCAAAACCCCAGCACTATCAATTACTACAACCCCATCTTATGCTGCTCAGTGGTGTATAAAATCATCACCAAAATTCTAGTTAAAAGTATGACCATGCTGCTACCAGAAATAATAACACCTAACCAGTCTGCTTTAGTTAAAGGAAGAACTATAATTGATAATACACTCCTTGCTCAATAATTAGTGAAAGGATATAGAAGGAAGTATATATGTCCAATGTGTGCTCTCAAAATAGACCTTCAAAAAGCATTTGATTCTCTTAATTGGGACTTCATTTATGTTATCCTCAAAGCCATTAGGCTACCAAGTATCTTCATAAGGTGGATATAGGCTTGCTTTATAGAAGCTAGATACTCTATTTCATTCAATGGTTGCTTGGTTGGTTATTTCAAAGGCTAGAGGGGATTAGACAAGGTAACCCTTTATCCCCTACCTTATTTATGCTTGCTATGAAAATCCTCTCTAAAATTCTTAACATTGCTGCTGCCAAAGGGATTTTTGGGTATCACCCTAAATGCAAAAATATTGCTCTTACTCATCTATCATTTGCAGATAATCTCTTAATTTTTTGCAAAGGAAATCTTGAATCTATTGCTGGAATCATCTTTGTCTTAAATCATTTCTATGACTTGTCTGGTCTTAAGCTTAATGTTAGCAAGACTGAACTGTATGCTGTTGGAATTTCCTCTAGAAATCTTGAAATTATCAAATGCACTTCTGGTTTCAATCAAGGATTTCTTTCTGTAAGGTACTTGGGGGTTCCTTTAATCACTAAAAAACTTATTAAACAAGACTGCCATCCTCTTATTGACAAAATTAAGCTAAGGCTCCACCATTGGTCTGGTAAGCTCTTAAGCTATACTGGGAGACTTGAGCTAGTAAAAATGGTTCTCTTTAGTGTGGTTAATTATTGATGCAGACAATTCATCCTCTATCAAACTGTTATCAACCGAATTGATCAGCTCTGTTCTCGTTTACTTTGGAAAAGAACTGATCAGGCAACAATTGGAGCTAGGGTCAGCTGGGCAAAACTCTGCTGCCCTAAATCTGAAAGAGGCCTAGGCTTGAAGAACATTAAATCATGGAACACTACATGTACGATTCAGCTTATTCGTAATATTCTTGCAAGAGAAGGATCACTTTGGGTCGCTTGGTTAAAATGCTATATATTTAAGAACGATAACTTCAGGGACATGGCTAAAAGTACCTCTCACAGCTGGAGCATCAAGAAATTATTGAAGCCCAGAACTACAGCTCTGCACGTTCTTAATGCAGGAACTAAAACTGCTAATGATGTTTAGAAAGTAGTCAGAGATAAAAGAGATAAGGTATCTTGGCATAAAATGATATGGTTCCCTTATCATATTCCTAAGTTTAGTATGATAGCTTGGATGGCCATCTTGGACAGACTCTCAACTCGGGAAAGACTGTCTCGGATGGGAATTGTCACAGATGGTCATTGCGTGTTATGCAATAAGGCCCTCGAAACAAGGAACCATTTATTTGCTGACTGAAATTTTGCTAAATCCATGTGGAAATCTATCTTAAATCTTTCTCACTTGTGAAAACCTCACATGTATTGGGAAGAAATGATTAATTGGGCTTGTGAAGAATGGAAGGGCAAATCTCTCCTTTCCACCTTATTGAAGATAGCTTGGACTTCGCTCATCCACTCGATTTGGGAAGAGATAAATAGAAGAATCTTTCAACGAAGATCCAAAGAAGTTGATCAAGTTCTGTCAACCATCAAGGAGCTTCTCTGAATCCAACTTAGAGGCAAAAACATTAATAGAACTGATATTGTTAATTGTAATCTATACTACTATTGGGGTATAAACTAACCATTTTTGTTATAAGGAACTATTTATACTCCCTTTTGGGATATTTGTTGTAGCAAACTTTGCTCTATTGGATCATAAAATTTAAATTATCCAAAAATAATAATAATCGATATAGTCCCTTGAGCCTTTAGGTGAGAGCCAACTCAAATTACTACCTAAATTAAAGGGACTAAATTGAAATCTAATCAAAAGTGGAGGCTCAAATATTAACATAAATTAATTTTAGTCATTATTGTAATTCGAATAATTAATGTGGAACCTCGAGCAAAAACAAGGACCAAATTAAGAATCCTCCAAATTTAAGCATTAAACCTAAAATAAAAATAATCTAGATTAGGATTAAATATTAAAAATCTAAGTTAAGAGGTTTAACAATTAAAATCTAAAATTGGGACTAAATGTAAAGAAATTTAAAATTAAAGGCAAAATTAAAAGAAATTACCAAGTAAATGGACTAAATTACAATAAATCAAAAATACAAAGCTAAAATTAAAGCATAAAGTAAAAGGACCAAAATGTAAGAAATTAGAATATAAGCATTAAATAAAAACAATACTGAAAATTAAAAGTTGAAATTTAAAGGACTGTAATGTAAATGCTGAAAAATAAATGCACAAATTAAAATAAAAAATTAATGGGAGAAAATATATATATAAGAGAAAATAAATTAATCGAATAAAATTATAAGTTAGGGATTAATTTTTTAATTGTTACTCGGACCATGAATAACTCGAATCATACCCCTGGGCGAGTCAACACGAGTTTGTATTAACTTTTAATATTCATATTTTGATAAAGGGACCAAAATGCAAAAAATAAAAAAATAGTTGCCAATAAAAAATAATTAGTGGCTAAAACAAATAAATTCAAACATCACATGCAAATCATAATAAAAATAAGAAGCAAAATCCAAACAGTGGCTAAAATGAATAAAAGCAAAAAATAAGTGAATAAATTCGAATAAATCAGAATAATAATAGTGACTAAAATTAAAACAAGCACAAATAAGAGCACAAAATCAAAGAAATGAAATAAATAGGGGACCAGTGACCGAAGTGGAAAAGCGCGCGTAAAGTAGAGGGACCTGGAAGAAAATAAACCAAAAGTTAATACTTAGAAATAAAAATAGAAAATAGAAAAATAAGGACATTAAATTTAAAATAAATATAAACAGAGCACATCATGGTGACCAAAATGCAAACCGATGAAACCTATGATGGTTGCAAACGTGATTGGACCCTCAAAGCCTAAAATGCATGGGTATAGGCCAAAACAACGCTATTTTGCTTTAGGTATAAATACATTTTATCACCCTTTTTTATTTTTCTCTCATTTATTTTCGTTTTTAGAGTGATAAGCTCTCTCTTATATCTAAGCCTCCCAAGAACTCAACGGGAGTCCAGCCACCAACAGTCGTGTCGATCACCATACCACTGTCACCGTCGGTGGCTGTTCGGGCACATAATTCATGTGTTGGCTTGCCTCAACGCAGTGGTCACGGATCTGAACTCGATTTTGTGAAAACAACCCTAATGCCACAAAATATGGCCTAAAATCTTCCGCTTCCCTTGTCATGATCTTTGTCGTCCATCGTTGAATCGGGCCGATTTCAAGATATGTTATTCCCTAGCATCTCTTCTCCCTCTTGACCATTTGGATTGGCTAAAGGAGGTCACGGTTTCCAGTGAAGCTCCGACCAAAAGGCAAAACCCTTCTCCTTTCTCTTTTCTTTTTTTTCCTTTTCTTGCTTCGAAAATAATATAAAAAAAGTCCTCGATTTTTTTGTTGATATCTTGAAATGATTTTTTTTGTGTTGTATTGATTAAAAAAAATTACAAAATGCCCTCTTTTTTATAGCAGAATCGGCCAGAAAGCACCCTGGTTTTGCATTGCACTTTGAGTTTTATAACAACCCGGTTACATAAATCCCAAAATAAAAAATTACAATAATTTCTTTTGTTGTGATTGTTGTAGCTGAGCTGGGATTTCGTTGGTGGTAGAGTGACTGACAGCATGGGCGTGCAGATGGCAAGGAGATGGTGGCACAGTGACTGGGGCATTGAATGCCCCGGATATTCGGGGATCACCCTCTTTTTTCTCTTTATTATTATTATTTTATTTATTTTTATATTATTATTATTATTTGGGATAAAAATGATGATTACAGTTGCCCCTCTTTGTTTATTGTTATGGAACAGGAATGAAGCAAATATAATAAACACCATTTTTTATCCGTCATGTACTCCTGTAATTCTGGAACTGCAAGTTCTTCTTATTGGCCGAGTTCTTCTCATTATGAACTGTTCATTGGGATGTCAATCCACTTCCTTTCGTGATGGGTAAGAGTTGATTGAACAAGTTCTTCTCATTATGAACTTATTCTCTCGGAATCATTGACCCAACTCTTTTGCGATGGTTAACCCAAGGTGATGATGATCCGACTCCTTATGTGATTGATGGGCCAAGGTGATGGTGATCCAACTCCTTATGTGATGGACGAACGAAATTATGATGTTGATCCAACTCTTTATGTGATTTATAAGTGAAATGATGATGCTGATCTAATTCTTTATGTGATGGATAAGTAAAATGATGATGCTGATTCAACTACTTATGTGATGGACGAGCAAAATGATGGCGCTGAGCCAACTCCTTATGTGATGGATGAGCCAAGGTCGGTGCTGTTCCAACTCCATATGATGAAATCGAGCTTGAGGTTGAACAAGTTCTTCACATTATGAACTTCTTCTTTCTCATCGGACAAGTTCTTCTCACTATGAAATCTCTACTGAATATGTTGATATACCTCATTCTTTGATGAAATCAAACAAAGTGATGTTGTTGATCCAACTCCATATGTGATGGATGAGCCAAGGTTGGTGTTGTTCCAACTCCTTATGTGATGGAAACGAGCTAAGGTTGAATAAGTTTTTCTCATTATGAACTTTTTCTCCCTTTTCGGATAAGTTCTTCTCATTTTGAACTCTCCACTTGAAATGTTGATCCATCTATTTCTTTGATGGAATCGAACAAAATGATGATGATGATCCAACTCCATATATGATGGATGAGCCAAGGTCGGTGATGTTCCAACTCCTTTTGTGATGGAAACGAGCTAAGGTTGAACAAGTTCTTCTCATTATGAACTTCTTCTCCCTCATTGGATGAGTTATTCTCATTATAAACTCTCCACTGAAAATGTTGATCTACCTCCTTCTATGATGAAATTGAAAAAAGATTGAACAAATTCTTCTCATTATGAACTTCTTCTTCCTCCTCTTCGGACGAGTATGAACCCTTCCATTGGAAATGTTGACTGGTTTATCATCTCTTTAAAAAGTTTTAAACCTACAAAATATTATTATATGTCAGTTATTTGCATTTAAAGTACCTTAACGTAATGACCCGATGGTCCTTAATTTTTGCTGAGATCCATTTCTTTCAATGGTGACTAATTCATTGTTGACTAATACTTGATGAAAAATGATGTGTATGCTCCTATCTTGCAAGTGCATGCATGATGTCATCTTAGTGTTACAAATTCTATCGTCTAGTGAATTTTTGCTCCTTTATCTTTCTAAGTTTTTGTCTTTATTGGGTCCATCCTGGAAACGACACTGCTCACTTGCATTGAGGCGATCTGGCCATTTCCTGGTGAATGGTTGACTTCTCCACACACAATAAAAGTCAAGTTTAAGAAATGCATTACTGAAAAGGCTTCTAGGGAAAAATATTAAGAATGGCTCAAACAATATCCTAGAAAATGATCCTAAAAAGGATTTAAACAATTTTCTAGAAACAATTATTCTGAGAAGGACAAAATAGTTTCTCAAAAGAGATTTTACAGGCATCCTCATAAGAGGTAAATCAAAATTTATCTTGTTTATAAAATGATGAAATATATGACGCAAAGATGCAAATTCATGTAATATGTATGAATGCATGTTTTCTTGATCTGTTGGGAATGGATGCAAGAGCAGTCTTTATTATTAAAGAAGTCTTCATTCTCTTCATGGTTCAGTTGTCTTCCTTATCTCTCACACCTGAGTGTATTCTTACGAATCTTAACTTTTGAATAGGCGCATCTTGCCCCAGTAAATTTTGCCCCTTGATAAATTTGGCCTCTCCTGCCTTAACTTATGTAGAAGTCCAATAGAGCTTTCATCTTTACCAGAAAATTTTGAAAAGAGAATCTATCATTTCAAGATTTGGAGACCGTGTACTCACTGCCACCTTTTGACAAAAAAATCAATAGCCACTGTATTGAACTAACCACCACAGAAATTGACAGAACATTCGTGTTCCCTGACAAACCCTACGATACATCCATGCCAATGATGGTAGTTATAACCTTAGAAACAACTGAAATTAAGGTGATCGCTCAATTGCTAACATCGAATTCATCCCTCCAAGCTTTGTATTGATTTTTTCAAAGTTATATCGTCCATTTAGCGGAAAGA